TTTTCAAAAGCATCACTGAGATGAGAACTGGATGTAATGCTTAGCTTGAGCTGTCTGTTTAAACGTGAGGCATAAATAATTAATCATATGAGGCAGATAACAGGTATTGGAGTTTTTAAATTGCTTATAGTTTCATTGCAACTGAATTGCAATGAGGGTTGTCTCAAATTGTAGGGAATGACTTGTGGTTGACCGATATGGATGTTTCAGTGGCTGACACTGATAATTAGTAAGTGGGTTGGCTGATGGTCTATACGTAAGCAGTGACTGATTTGCAACATCAGTAGCATACAAATTAAGCTCCACACATGACACTATGAACAATTTATATATTTGTAATAAACTCTCATTGTGTCGCACTAGAATAATAGTGTGGGAGAACTGTAGCCTACTTGAAGTAAGACGGTTAATATTTATAAGTACAAAAGCCTCTGAAGGAATTAATGAGTCGTTGACTTTGGCTACAGGATAAATTGCATTAATTAATGAGTTTTATAGTCCTAACTCAGTCACAGTTACACATGGTATTAGATGTGAGAGGAGAAAATTGATGCAGTTGTGTTGTGATAGTTCACCAAGTATCAATATTTAATTTTAGTAGTTATTTTATGTTTAAAGATTTATTTATTTTTCCATCATATTTTAATTATTAGTTTAGCACAAACAGGCAGTTAATTAATTCAGATGTAGATTGACTGTGGATCAATTTTGGACTTCACAGCGTTGCATAGGAAAAAAAGGTTGATATAATTCATTTAACTTCCAAGTGATTTCATAAGAAAGTCAGTCTTTTCATTGATGAAATAAAATGCAGTGTGCAGCAATATTTTGCAGCAACACATGATTCACTGTAAAATATTGCATTAAAATCAGTCACAAGATCTTCTAGTTTGCATGTGGATTAATGTTCAGAACACAGATTGCTGATATTAATCACTTTACATTCGACCTACATCAGAAACACTGATCTTATTTTTTGTTTTGCAATGACAGCCTTAACTGCTTTATTTTTATATTAATACAGCACGTTAACATTTTCTGTCCAGCATTGTAAATTTGATACTTGCATAGTTGCTTGGTGTCGCTCATTGCTGCTGATAAAGGTAGACCAGACAAGACTTTAGAGCTTATGTCACCTTTAAATGAGAAAAATATACTAGTTTCCTCAGAAACACGCCTTAACCTTGCTCTCATTATCTTTTATTAGACTTTAATCCATCTTCCTGCTTCCACACATCAGTGTCGTGTTACCATCAATGCTGCCTACTTTAAAATACCACCAGTTTCTAAAGCTGCTAAACTGAATGGAAGGGGTGTCACAGGTGACTGTGGATAAAGGTGTTATTAGCACCCTTTTTAATTGACGTCGAATTTGCATGTGTAGAAATGTTGCTACTGTATGAGATAAACATAAAATGAAAGATGAAGATGAAATGAAATCATAAAAAGTTTGTCAGGATTTGGCCTTGGGGATATTATAATGGTATGACAGTTTGTCTTCAGGGAATTGAATGCATTTCCCTACAGTGCCCAGGCCTTGTAAACGACTGGCCACCATCCATCTGCATCTAACCTCTGACAAGTCTCAGCCTGAGCTCAGTGTCTGGAGATCGTCAGCCCTGAGCCACAGATTTCTTTTGAACTCCGATTTCATTTGAAGAGATGAAAAGCAGATATTTTCACCTCTGCTTGCACCCTGTTTCAGATGTAAAAGAGCAGCGTTGGTGCTTTTCTACAAATTTCTACAGATTTTGTGAATATTTGTATCCATTTGGATTCAGTTCCCTATAGGGAGTTTTAAGTAGAGGTGAGTTCATTAAAGATCTCTTTAATATTTTAATATATCTCTTTAATAAGTATAGATAAGGATTTTTAGTTGCTTTAATATGAAAAAAACTATTTTGTATCATATTGGTAATTGGCCAATATTACAGATTGTTTAATTTACTGGTATGGTTAATATTGGATATACATTGGTTGATACTGGATTGATTTCCACTGTTTTTACATTTAGATTTATCTTTGCCCTGATCTAACACTAACTTAAAATTAGTATTTAAAATACTAATAATTAGGGATGCACGATATTGGATTTTTGCCAATATCCGATATGCTGATAATTTTCAACTCATTTTGGCCGATGCCGATATATAATTATTTTTAATTTGGTTAGTTTTTAGCAAGAATTTATTTGTTAGAATTAAATAAACAATAATAAAGTTATGTTATAATGACAGTACATTGAAAATAACCAAATAATCAAAATATGATTTGAAAATAACTAAAAATAAACTATATTTTAATCACTACATTTTTCTTTCAGAAAGATGCAGTGGTAACCATAACATTGAAAAAAGGTTGATATAATTCATTTAACTTCCAAGTGATTTCATAAGAAAGTCAGTCTTTTCATTGATGAAATAAAATGCAGTGTGCAGCAATATTTTGCAGCAACACATGATTCACTGTAAAATATTGCATTAAAATCAGTCACAAGATCTTCTAGTTTGCATGTGGATTAATGTTCAGATGCAGTGGTAACCATAACATTTTATTTTATGATTTAACATTTGTAAATGGTCTAAAGCAAAAGAGTTGTAAAAATTCAGATTTTTAGATAAAAAAATATAACATATTACACATTAATGAATAAATGTGACCCTGGACCACAAAACCAGTCATAAGGGTACCTTTTTCGAAATTGAGATTTATACATCATCTGAAAGCTGAATAAATAAGCTTTCCATTGATGTATGGTTTGTTAGGATAGGACAAAATCTGGAATCTGAGGGTGCAAAAAAAATCTAAATATTAAGAAAATCACCTTTAAAGTTGTCCAAATGAAGTTCTTAGCAATGCATATTACTAATCAAAAATTAAGTTTTAATATATTTACAGTAGGAAATTAGCAAAATATCTTCACTGAACATGATCTTTACTTAATATTCTAATGATTTTTGGCATAAAAGAAAAATCAATAATTTTCAAAAACCCATACAATGTACTTTTGGCTATTGCTACAAATAAACCCCAGTGACTTGAGACTGGTTTTGTGGTCCAGGGTCACAAATCAGTATATATAAAATGATTTAATTTAAGTGCCATGTTTGTGATTTTTTTTGTTCATGTAAGGTATAGCTTCTGACCTTTAAATCAAAACATACTCATGATTTTATGGCATCAATTACTGCTTTATTTAACCAGAAACACAGTCTAAATATTATTTGTGTATTTTGCTTTCATTTTATTAGAAGTAGGCCAACAGCTCCCCCTATGGAATTAAAACTCCTTACTGAGCGGGCATTAGGACCCGGGGGAGGCTGCTGCCGCTGCACGTGCTATTACTGTTTACTCTATCATACACCGAACACATCATTCGTACGTGCATTCTCAGTTTAAATGCAGGGATCCAAAACAGTGAATCCAATCACCATTCAAGCAAAACTTTGCTTCAAGAATGAGCCACAATACTGACATGATCTAATCGGTAGCACACCCTGAGCACATGTGAGTTAATGTATTCCTCTTATAATTTTTCATATCGGGCTGATGCCGATATTTACATTTAAAGCCATTATTGGCCGATTCCGTTATTGGTCCAATAATATTGTGCATCCCTACTAATAATGTGATATCTGTTAAAAATGTATTCAAATGTATTTGCAGCAAATCTCAAAATGAATATCAGTTTTTCATACTGTATACTATAATGCCTAAATTTAATGGTAAATTTTAAAATGATTAATTTTAGCTTAATGTATTTAAAGAAAATACTATAGAATTTTGATATTGCCATTGAACAGTTATTGGTCATAACATAAAAATATTATTGGCTTATCAATATTGGACAGAATTGGAATATCGCTGCATCTGAAATTGAAAAGAATTTACATTTTTCATCCTGCTGGTTTCTGGAGGTAAGTAGGAAATAGGTCACTAAATCAACCATCTTCCTTATATTCACTCCATGTTTGCTAATACATATCAAAGTAATCCAGAATTTGGAGGCTACAGTGACTAATTTCTCCTCTGTGGATGGAAGAAGATCAGGGGTCATTTGTCGGGCATAGTTTGATATGATGAAAGCTTCCAGGTTGGCTTTGGGACAGGTTCAGTTGAATGTCACTTTAGAATGAAATTGGCTTGGATCCGGATCATTAAGGGCAGTTTGGTTTGTGTGTGGCTGTCTGGAATCTTTCTCTTCTTTCTTCTCTTTGGGCTTCAAGGCAACCAGGAGCACCAGACAGACTTCTTCCTTTGATAGAAGCCCTTTCTGCCAGAATTAATTATCAAGCGCGATGCTTGTGTGTGCCGTCCATTTCGTAAGTGTGTGTATAAACAGGCATCTGTCAACACACTGCCTCGGTTGCTTTCTTCCATGCCTCTGCCAAAATGGCACAATAACAGAGTCTGGCGCGTAACACTTTTAATGTAGAATTGTCCTTGTATCTCCTCGTCTCTTGACTGAGGTGCCTCCTTCTGTGGAGCCTTTAAAAATCCAGCATTTGTTGCCTATATTTGAGCTGAACCACTTTTAGGGAAAATAATGATTGAACTGTCTGATGTTCTTTGTTGAAGGGCATATCTGTGCCTCACCCCACGAAGCGATAATGATATTTTAGTAATGCATTGCCTGGCATGGGGTAATGGCTTGGCTTTATTAAGCTCTTCTCTGTGCCTAGAGCAGGAATCAAACACAGGGCTGTCAGAAAGTTCAAAGTGCTGGATACTTCACAAATGTGGCTAATCTAATAAAAGCTGGAATTAATACAAGTAGGCCTATGTTAAATAATTTTTTTTATAATAAAAAGAAAACAAGTAGATATAATAGAAAAACAATTTTTTGTGGGCTGAGTCTGATCAAATCAATTTCCTAATCTTATGAATCCAGAAATTCTTTCATTCTCTTTCTTACTCTCTCCTCCTTTCTCTCTCTCACATTTCTTTTTTCTTACTTATGCTTTGTCGACATTATCCATAATTTATTTGTGTGTGTTCAGGAAGCCAGCTCGCTAATGGAGGTATGCATAATGCATTCTTCGTGCTTTTATTGGAGCCTCTGGTGGCCCAATCCAAGACTGAGGCGAGTACAGTGTCTGTTCCATGATGTACTAAAATCTGGGAATCACCATGGATTCCACAGTACAACACATTAAAAACTGTAGCACCATAGTTTTCAGTGTCTCATGATTTTCAGAATCCTTCAGAAATAATTCTGATATGCTGATTTGGCGCTCAGGAAATGTCTTGATTTTAAAAACAATTGTGCTGCTTAATATTTTTTGTGGAAATCGTGATACATTTGATCAGGATTCTTTTATCAAAATAACATAATTTGTTTTTATTTTTAAAGTTTTTTTACTGTCACTTTTTATCAATTAAAAAAAACTATTTTTAAGAATCAATCCTTTTTATTAATTTCATTAAATTGTATTACTTGGTACTATATTTATAAATAAAAATATGTCCATGCCATCTAGGGTTGGGTATCGAAAACCGGTTCCAAATTTCCAAGAACCGGATATTCGATAAGACGAGTGCATTTAGATTCTGCTTAATGATTCCTGCATTCGCATTTGAATGTGATTTAAAACGATTTAATTGCAGGAACGGAAAGAACTTGTGCCTTGTTTGTGTGCAGCACACACGAAGCGCGAGCATGAGCACAGAGAACAGTGGTCGCTGCGGTTCCCTGGTTTGTGTCCGTTCTCGAACTGTTCCGTGCATTTTCACTGTAGAAAAGGTTGTTCCGGGCCAGAACTGACTTCTTTCATATTTATCGGCCAGTATTGCAGAAAACTACGTCAGTATATCATCACAAACACAGCCGTTTTTGTCTCAAGTGAACATAAACAGATGAGAAAAAAATGCAGTACAGTATTTTTAGACTGAATATATTTAATAACTTTAATATATATTTTATTTATGAAAAGAAAACTATGGAGTGATTTTAAACTTTTAATTACATTTTCTGTACCTGAAATTTGGTTCGGTTGTATTTATTTATGCTTTTGCTATTAATGATTTTATTACTGACTGTTTACTTGTCTTTAACACTTTCATATTTGAAATGTATATTAGTCTAGTTGTTTTTGCTGTGGTATTTTCATAAAAATTTATCTTGCAGTGTTCTGTAGGCTGCTGTTTTTTTCTCATGTTATTCAGCTGCAACAGAATGCTTTGTAAAAAGACAGAATACATGTTTGACTTACATTTTTTTTAATCTAATTTTTTATCTTAATGTAATCAAAACTAAGAATTGATAAGAATCGGAATCGATAAGCAGAATCGGAATCGATAAAATTCAAACGATACCCAACCCTAATGCCATCTGCATGTTGCCTTAATATTTTGCAAGGCTGCGTTTACACTTGGCATTAACATGCGATCACTGTGATCTGATCAAGCAGATCGGATCATCAGTCAATCAGGAAACGGCGTGATTACACTTGGCAACATCAGCTGACTTCTCGATCTGGATAACCGATCGGATCTGTCTTTCCTGCTCAATATTTAAATAAATCTGCGGTGCAAAGTCGACCTGAAGTGTTGGGTTTTCTTTTGAAAACTATTTTCAGTCGCGGGACATTTTACAAATCCAAATAAATGTACGAGTCGCACTAGCGCTCTGTTCTTCTGACAGTTCGGAAGAGAGGGGGCGGCGTTTTGCGTGATGTCGACCTGCAAATGCAGACACGATGGCTGGATTGCGTTTACATTACACTGAGATCCGATCACAATGCGTCCTCGACTACCTCTGGACCAGGACACGCTGATTAGATAACATTCCGATCAGAAGCACGTTTACACTTATCTTTTCAATGTGTATGTGGACAACATCCGGATACAGGTTGCATGCTAATGCCAAGTGTAATGTATCAGTTACACTCAACACCTCTAGTAACCAGTGTACTTCCATTATGGTTGTGTATGTTTATGTCTGTATGTGGTTTATTCTATTGTATATGTGTGTATAGTTCATTGTATATTCTCCGGACAGTCACACGCTTTTGTTCATTTTTGTCCTCTTTTGCATCTGTGGAATTAAAGATTTCCTGTTTGTGGAGTTAATCAAAGTAGCCTTTTTGATCTGTGTGTCAGCTAGAAGAAACCATTACCTCGGATAAGGATTCACATGGCTAATTGATTTTTAGATGCTTAAAACATCAGGCATGCACATACTGTTCTTTCTCTGTCTCTCTCTCTTGAATAAATGCACACACGCACTCACTGGCCAATCGCCCGTTTCTGTTTAGTCAGATCTGCAGCCAGATTGTGCTGAATGCTTAGACTCCCCCCACGCACCAACATTTATCTACGCTCATTCATCCCTGAACTATAAAACTGAGTGGAGAGTGTCTTGATGATAATAAGATGGGCTGGTTTTAAAAAGTCACATGACTATGAGAATTACTTTTGGAAATTACTAATTGAGATCTGCATACTCAGCAGACAGACCTGAAGTCGTTCTTTCTGCCCAGATCTGACACTTTACACTGACCCCTCAGCCAGTGCACGGGATGCAATCTCCAAACTTTTACTGTCATTTACGTATCGATCAGCACAAACAGCACGGTTGCCAAGCGGATGAGAGCTGAAACTGAGGCTAGTGTTGCGTAGCCAGACTTTTATGAGGAGCAGACGGTCTGATCAACCAACATATAAAGTGACTGAACACAGTTTATTTTCTTTTTAGGTCATTTATGGATGGATTTATCTGTAATAGATTAGTATACCCCTAATCCTAACTAAGGCCCTATGATGTCTGTTTTATTTTTTCCAAAAGTTTTTTCTGGATTCCATTTTTTCTGTTTTACTATTTCTAGACTGTTTTAATGGTTAAATGAAAAAAATATTAATCAAAAAGCACGTCTAAAATCATGAAAATTGATGCCCTATGAAATACGTATTTTCACAAATTCAGTTTCATTTTTACCAAATTATGTGTTTTCCATTAATTTTCTGGATTCCATTTGAATGGTTTCATAAAATTTTCATAATCAAAAGCATGTCTATTTAATTGATCTTATAAAGAATTAATTTATTATTATTTTATTTATGTATTTTTTCAGAAATACTGTGTTGTGTATTTACATTTTTCTGGTAAAAGCTGGTAAATAATTGTTCTGTTAAATATTCCTTAAAAATAATGTTTTAATAATGTTTTAATTTTATCATTAGTAGTAGTACTATCATTAATTATTATTAAGGCATTTTGATTTAAGTGTACTGACCTACTTTGATCTATTCATTCAAAACTTGGTCAATTCCGTGACATTCCATCCTATGTACTAGTGATGAGCGGATGGCGGTTATATCTGCGGGCGCTGCAGATAATCCGTGGGTCGGGTAATAAAAAAATACATACTAATTAATTGTGGGTGGCGGGCGGATAATTTATTTGAAGCAGCGGATTTGGGTGATGTTTGAGCTCATCCGCACATCTCTGCTATATACAGTAAATTTCATTGTTATGACTGGATTCCGCTATTTCCGTTTCCCCACGCATTGCGGAAATCATAGAGCCCCACCTAACACAATATAAGTCTTAAAATATCGTAATATTAACTGTAACTATGGTATTTTGACTGGATGAATGTGGATTAATATAATTATTTTTTATATTTCTTAAATTCAAACTTAAAGAGTTTTGTGAGCCCTTTTTTTTTTTTTTTTTTTTTTTTGTGCTGCAAGCTTGAAATGGCTTGTCAACGATTTGGATGTGTGCATGAACCTAAAGGTACCAAAAACTGGGAGGAGAACAGCATGTGTTCATATGTGATAACTCGTTGTCTGTGAGTTTTGCTCCGCGCTGAGGGATATAAAGCTTTTTGATGCATCTGATGTGTTTTTGTATGTGTTGAGAGGGATTCTTTAGATGAGTTAGACTGGAGAACTCAGGGGAGATCTGCCGTCTGCCAGGAGACTTCAAGGCCTCTGAGCTGCTGCTTGCTTGCTTTAAGACTCTCACACACACACACACACACACACACACACACACACACTGCTCCGTCTTTCTGCTGTCTGCCTAGATTATTGAGACCAGAGTCATACTTTGCCCAGCCAAACACACAAACTCACTTTCTTATTCACAAGGGCCCTGAAGGCAGGTGTTTAATAGATATTACTCCGTGCATAACCTCTAACCAAGCACTTTATTTACATAAACATGGCTCTCAATGGACCTGTTAGAGTCATTAGACAGCACTGTGCTTCCCTAATTAAACATCTCGTGAGCTGGCAGAAGATGCAGATGTTGCAGCTGGAGAATAATCTGAAATTGCACTTCTTTGTAGTGTTTATCCCGCATTGTTTTGATTGATTGATTGTCAAGGGCACATGTAATGTGGGTTTCTGAAGTGTTCGTGTGGTGAGTGGACACGTGGTCACGGGTCATGAGAATGACCGTCATGCTTCTAAATGAATTGGTTGTTGTTTAACTTTCACACATGGAGCTCAGACTTTTTCCTCTGTCTCTTGAAGTCTGTTGAGGCCAGAGGTCTTATTGATTTCGCTCTCTTATTTATTGTCTTCAGGTTTATTAACAAACATGTGTTGGCTGGTTTTGCTATGGACGTGATACCACAAATCACATGGTTTGTTGAAAAGAGGTGTGCTATTCCTTTTCTTAGCAATCAAACCTAAAATGTTTATATTGTAGAGGATAAAATTTAATTAAACATGACTTTCATTTAAGGAGGAACATGAGCCAACGAGAGACCAGAATCTATTTTAGGTGAAAGTGAGGTGACGTGTAGCCAAGTATGACCCATACTCGGAATTTGTGCTCTGCATTTAACTCATCCAAGTACACACACACCGTGAACACACACACCCGGCGCAGTGGGCAGCCAATGCTGCGGCGCCTGGGGAGCAGTTGGGGGTTCGGTGCCTTGCTCAAGGGTCTCACCTCAGTCGTGGTATTGCGGGTGGAAGAGAGCGCTGTACATTCACTCCTCCCACCGACAATCCCTGCCAGACCTGAGACTCGAACCCGCATCCTTCAGGTTACAAGTCCAACTCTCTCTGTTAATTTTTTTAATGTTTATTTAATAAACACACTTGCATTTGCCAGCCTTTTCTTTTGACAGTGT